TTGAGAGGGAGTATAGTTACCTTGAGAGGAATCTTATCAAATGAGATTAAGCCATATCCTTGTGAGCAAAATAGCAACTGAAGAATTAGTCTGACTTTGCTAAGACTTGTATGTTTCAGTTTAGGATTTTGGAGAAGCCTACCCCAAGTAAGTCATTTCAGTTAGGTGCTCCAAACTGACATATTCATTTACCTGACATGTGGTTTGAGTGTATACTACATGTCTGAGATAGTTTTTTACCCTGAAGATACAGCAGTAAATAAGTCACATACTTTCTTTCCCTGGTGGAGTTTTTATTCTTGTTGGGGAGATAAGCAACACACAATAAATGATTTTGACTAGAGAGATAGGTAAATAGATTAAAGATAAATTAGATTAGAAAACAGATAAGATAGATTGATTGATAGATATAGACAGAAAACAGGTGGTCGTGTATGTTACATAGAAGAATAGAGCATGTTAGTGGATAGAAGCAGCTGGGTGATAGGAAAGTGAATGACAAAGGATGGGCAGAGAAACATGTTTGGATCAAAATGGATCACAGACCTAAATGTAAAATGCAGAACTCTGAAAGTCTTAGAATATAATATGAGAGAAAATCTAAATGATCTTGAGTTTGGTGGTAACTTTTTAGATACAAAACCAAAGAAATTCATGAAAGAATTGATAAGCCAGACTTCATTAAAACAAAATAAAAAATTCTGCTTTGTGTAAACATTGACTAGAGAATAAAAAGACAAGCCACAGACTGGGAGAAAATATTTGAAAAATATTTGATAAAGGACTTATCCAAAATATTCAGGGAACTCTTAAAAATCAACAATAAGTAAACAAACAGTCTGGTTAAAAAATGAGTCAAAACCTTAACAGACACATCACCAAAGAAGATAAACAGATTGCAAATAAGCATATGAAAGTGTGTACCACCTATGTGTCTTGGAAGAAATGCAAATCAAAACGAGATACCACACTAATTAGAATGGCCAAAATCCAAAACACTGATAATGCCAAATCTGGGAAGGGTGTAGAGCAACAGGAACTCTCATTCATTGCTGGTGGGACTGCAAAATTGTACAGCCCACTATAAAAGACAGTTTTCAGGTTCCTTTTGTGTGTGTGTGTGTGTTTATGATCAAGTGTGTGTGTAATATCTATATGTGTATATATATATAATATATAATACATATATACATATATATATACACACACACCTTTTTTGACATGCAAAAAGCTGTACATATTTAATGTATACATGTTGATGACTTCATGAGTTTGGAGATAAGTATACACCTGTGAAAGCATCACCACAATCTATGCCATAAACCTATTCTATAACCTCCAAAAGTTTCTTCCCACCTTCTTTATATATTGTTACCATTTTTTATATGATAAAAAGCAGATCTACCCGCTTAGCAAATTTCTAAGTACATAATGTAGTATTGTTACAAAACTAAACATATTCTTATCATACAATGCAGCAATTGTGCTCCATGGTATTTACCCGAAGGGGTTGAACATTTATCTCCATGAAAATATCTACATATGAATGTTTATAGTAGCTTTATTCATAATATCCAAAGTTTAGAATCAACTAATATATTTTTCAGTTGGTAAATGGATAAATAAACAGTCTTACATCTAGGTAATGGAATATTTTTCAACGCTATAAAGAAATGAGCCATGAAAAGACATGGAGGAATCTTAAATGCATATTACTAAATGAAAGAAGCCAGTCTGAAAAGGCTACTAACTATATTATTACAACAAAATGATATTCTTGAAAAGGAAAAACTCTGGAGACAGTAAAAAGATCGGTGGTTGCTAGGGGTAGGGGGAAAGGGTGGGATGAATCAGCAGAGCACAGATGAGTTTTAGAACAGTGAAATTACTATATATGTCATTATGCATTTTTTTAAAAACCCATAAAGTGTATACCACTGAGAGTGTACCCTGATGTAAACTGTGGGCTTTGGATGATAATGATATATAAATGTAGGTTCATCAGTAGTAACATGTACTACTCTGGTGGCGGATGTTGACAATGGGGGAAGCTATGCATGTGTGGGTACAGATCATATATGCGAAATCTCTGTACCTTCTGATTAATTTTTCTGTAAACCTAAAACTGTTCTAAAAAATAAAATCTTTTTAAAAATATCCAGAAAGGTAAAATTTAAGGTGAAAATTGTTAATTTGAAGATGTCAACAATATGAAGTTCGTGGAGAATTGTGTTATAAGCAGAGGGAACAAGTGTGAAGCCTAGAAACCTTAATGGTCTATATAGTTAAATACAGAAAGAAATTCAGTGTGGCAAGAGCATGGTAGGCAACATGAGGGCAGAGAAATAGTCAGCAGCCAGATCATTAAAGGCTTTATAATGTAGAGTAGAAGAAAATTTATGCTAAATGTGACTTTGATACACTAGAAAGTTTAGAGTAATGGAGAAACATCATGATTTTTGTGTTGAGAATGGTTTGTGGCAAAGTGGTGAGAAATGATGTAGGGGGCTTCCCCTGCATTTAGGTAGGGTTTGGGGGGGTTCCAATTGAGATATAATGGCTAATTGGACTTCTAGTGTGGAAATGGTAGAAATGCAGTGAAGTAAACCAATTCAGTTATCTTGGAGGTAGTCAGGAAGGACTTACTGACTGATAAGCAGGGTAAAGAAAAAAGAGTAATTATGCATGACCCATCAATTTTGGATTGAGTCATCAGGTTAGATGTCACTGTCATTTACTGAGTTGGTGAAACTTTGGAAAACCACAGGTTTTGGTGGAGGGATATCAAGAGTTCTATTTGGGACATGTTAATTTTGAGGTGCCTGGAAGACAGTCATGTAGATGCTTTAATTTAATATTTGGATATATGAATTTGGAGTTGGGTGGAGAAATCAATACTACGTTTAAATGTGGGATTCAGCAGCATAAGAATGTTGTATAAATCCATGGGGATGGATGGAATAACTCAGGGAAATATATAGATAGAAAAGAGAAGAGGGACCAGGGTAAAAAGATACTGCTATTGGATTTGGCTACATGGAGGTTCCTGGTGACCTTGGTGCATTTCAGTAGAATAGTAAAGGCAGACACTCAGTTGTTCTTTCACTGTACATTAAATTTGAATCTAAAATTTGGCTTTTGAATACTGTGTTAGAAAATGATCTTAAAAGCATTTTTAGAGGTAAGAGGGGGATTTAAAATGATTTCCTAAACTAGTACAACATTGTTTTGTTATCAACTATACTCCAATAAAAAATGAAAAAAAAATGATTTCCTAAATTCCCAGAGTGATGCTAACAATTTCAGAAAAGGTTGAATGCCTAAACATAGAATTTTACTCTAAGCAGAGGGAGAATGAGGAGTTTCCTGGAAGGGGGAGGAGAACAGTGGGGCAGGATTTGATTCTCTTTGTCATTGCAGCTGATCCAGATCAGCAAGGTAGGACCATCTGGAAGACCGTGAATTACAATAGCCATTAATCCTTGAGCAGTTGATGTATGGGGGACAGGGGCCAATATTTAAAGAACAGGCAAAACAGTTATACTTCACTATTAATAGAAAGTTAGCTCTTGAGGGCATATGGAATAGGAGACCCTTCCTTTAATATCAAGGAGAAGCTTTAACTAGGATCTAGAGTTTACACTGCAAAGAATAAAGGGGAGAGAAAATCACTTGGTGAGTTCTGCAACGATGCTGAGTTTATCTGAGAGAGAATGATTTAAATCAGAAAATATTTAATTGGCACTAATTGGCAGGTCCAAGATTTTACCTTTTGCTTTATATTGCTTTTTATTTTTCTTCACATTAATAAGATTCATGGGTCAAAAGAGAGTTTAATATAGTTATAAAGATATAAAGTTAATTGTTTCCACATCAAAATAATATCACTCTGCTAGATTCTGTTGAATTCTGGTTAATTTGGTTTTGTATATATATTTATCAGATTATCAAGAATCAATATGTCTCATTTAAATTTACTCACATTTGTAGTTCGGACAATTTTGATTTTCATCCTTCCTTAAATGGAGAGAAGTTGGCCACCATTTTCTGTTAGAACAATCAAACGAAACTTTTGTTAAGTAATTGTTAAAATTATTAAAGTTCTATATCATAAGCCAGTCTCTTCTCCCTCACCTTAAATAATTCTAGTTCCCTTAACCTTTTCATTCACACTTGTAAAATCTCCATTCATGTGGTGTTTCCCTCCATATTCTTAAATATTTCTTATTATGAAAAAGTCCAAACTTGCTGAAAGTCTAGTAAAAATCTAGTGAGCAGATTACGGAGATTTTATAAGAATGATAAATTTCAATTCAAACCTTTAAGTCAGTTTAATTGTTTTTAATCTTATTTGACTTAAAAGAAAACAAAACTAACTTACCAAGTATGTTTATCTTGTCTTGGAAGCAGAGTATTCAAAATCCATCCACCTGGTTGTGGCTGTTTATACTTCAGAGATGGTACAGGCTCACAAAAAAGCAGTAATTTTTTTCCTCTTTTTCTTTTTTTTTTTTTTCTTTTGAGGAACGCTACCTTTAATTTGTATTTGTACTTATTTGAAAGTAGACTTTATGAAATTTGTTTGACTTCCTCTCATGACTTCTGTGGTTCTTTATGTAAATCTGTGGGTGCAATTTCAGGTTGTTTAAATCTATGGTTTCAATATCTGCATCCTTGAATTTTGTTGACGCCTTTGTTGATTTTTTTCTTCTTTGTATCCACAGATTCAACACCATTAACTTCTGAATATTCTTTATGAATCTTTCTAGGGATCTTTCATTGAATTCTTCATATCCCCAAATTTAGCATAAGTATCCTCCAAGTCCTTTTAACGTCTTTCTTATATTTTTCATGAAGGTTTTCTGAGCCCATCTTTGTGTTCTTCTTTCCCCCATTTAAAAACTTATTCCATTAATTCTTTGAATCCCCCTTTTCATATATTCAGTTTCAGACTACTAAAATTGTTCCATCAAATACTCTTTTGAATTACCATCCAAGGCCTACTTGCCCTTCTTGGCATCTTTCTTTGCATCCTTCTTGGCATCTTTCTTTTCTTTCTTGGCAGCATCTTTTGACTCACTATCTGCCTCACCGGGCTTTTCATCTTTCTTATCTTTTTTACTCTCCTTCTTCTTTGAATCTTTCTTGTCCTTTGATTCATCTCCTTTCTCACCAGGTTTCTTTGAATCCTTGCTCCCTTTCTTATCCTTCTTTCCATCTTTCTTTTCACCTTCTGGTTCTGTAATGGACTCCTTGCCCTTCTTTGAACCTTTCTTATCTTTTTTGGAATCTTTCTTTGCATCTCCTTTTTCACCTTCTAATTCTGTAGCAGACTCCCTGCCCTTCTTTGAACCTTTCTTATCTTTCTTTGAATCTTTCTTTGCATCTCCCTTTTCACCTTCTGTTTCTGTATCAGACTCCTTGCCCTTCTTTGACCCTTTCTTATTTTTTTCAGAGTCTTGCTTTGCATCTCCTTTTTCACCTTCTGATTCTGTAGCTGAGTCGTTGTCCTTCTTTGAACCTATCTTGTATTTTTCAGAACCTTTTATTGCACCTGCTTTTTCATCTTCAGATTCTGTAACTGACTCCTTGCCCTTCTCTGAACCTTTTTTCTCTATTTTGACATCTTTCTTTGCATCTGCTTTCTCTTCTTTAGCTCCTGGTTCTTTCTCTGAACCTTTCCTAAGTTTTTCCTCTGAAACTGTGGACTCTGCTTCTGCATCTGATTTGTCCTTCTTGTCTTCCTTACTTTTCTTAATTATTGATGGAGATAAAGGTTTTGCTGCATCTTTAGCATCCTCCCTGGAGTGTCGAGCTGGTTTCTGTAGAGGCTGCCTCCTAGCAGCTAAATAAACAGATGGTCTCTCAGAAATTCTCATTAAAGAATGGTGCATCCATAATGGTGGTTTATGAGCTCCCCTTAATTTGTCTTCATCATATCTCTGAAATATTGGTTAGAATAATAATGAACAACTTGTGTGTGAGTTACACAGCCTTTATTACCAGATATTGAATACATTTAACTTGAACCATGAAAAGATTTTAGATTTTGATAAATAGTGGGTAAATGGTAGATTGCATAGTTTATTATGCTTTTTCAACTTTGTTCCTTTTTTGTATTAAAGGACAGCATGCCTCATTTAAGGCCTAATTTTAATTTAGAGGATCTTCATAATTCCCTCAAGATTTTATGTTAAAATTCTCACAGAACTTCACTGACTAATGACAAATCAGAACCTCTCTTCACAATCATGAGAGATTTAGGTTTTGTTTTTGTTTTTGTTTTTTGTTTTTTTACTCTGTGTTCTTGAGATTTCTTGGAATGTCTTCCCCATCTTCCATTTCTGTGCTAACTCAGAAACTAATTATTCTCTAATATCTAAGAGTTTCATGTTCAGGCATATCCTGGTCTCTATTGTCATATTCAGAGTCTCTGGAATTTAGAATGCTACCTGTGGTTAAAAGTAAAAGCCTAATACTCCTCTGCCTGACAAGATATAATTTGAGTATCAGATAGGAAACTGCAGTAATGAAAACTATAACATTCAGTGGACATTAGTTTGAGCAGAATGGTACATTCTGTTTTCAACTCCTAATCAAATATTTTTAAAAGCTTAATTGCAAAAATAGCAAATTTTGGAAAGAATGTTAATGGCTGTAAAAATAAATTTAATAAAGAAAGGAAAATGAAAAAAGGATGAGAAAACAGAAGAAACCTAGGTTACTACTGATTAAATATATTCCCTAAAATAAACAAGAGTTCATGATATGTTATTTTGTGAAAACTTTTCTTGGAACATTTTCATATTCCTTGATGATTCCAGAAACATTGGGAAATATTAATCTTCTAATACTCAAAATCTGGAATTCTATATTATAGGAAATGAGAAAGCATTGAAACTTCCTTAGTTTATAATGTAACTCCATGATTCTCATGAGGGTGTTTCTCCAACTGGGGAATATTTTCTGAATGTTCATACTAACTGTAGCCTTAGGATCTCCAGATTTCTGTGCTTCTTGGATACGTATTTTCTATAATGTGGGATTGCTGAGCAAATATTTAATATGAAATAAGGGAGTAATTTTTATATACTGAAATGCAAATTAAATATATCTACTTTCTCCAAGTAGTAGAATTGAATTACCTTCAACTGTGCTGTATAATATGACATTTAAAGGCCACATGTGTGAACTGAATCAAATTGAATGTAAAATTCAACTGCTCAGTTGCAGTAGCCTCATTTCAAGTGTTCAGTAGCCATATTGGAATTGGAATGCAAAGATATAAAATACTTCCATCATCACAGAAATCCCATTGGTCAATGATGATCTGTAACATATATAGCTATACATGATTTCACAAGATTATTACCAGTAAAAGTATGTGATCTTTTCAAAACTCACAGGAACTGTTTTGTCTTGTAGTTGGGAAGGTTTTGATCTCCTTCTTGTTCCTGGCCGTGGTGGTTTGGGAAATACCAGGGCAAAATGTTGCTGATTCCATGATTTTTTACTTAATTCACTGACTAAAATAAGAAAACATTAAGCATACACTTCAGAATAAATAGAATTTTATCAGACCTAAAATGGCAGTAAGTTTCTCTTGCCCATTCTTTCCCATTGCCCAAGTACTGTCAAGAGGTTAATAATTCATAAATAAATTTGGTTTGGTTTAGAAAAAATAAAAAATAAATAAATAAAATGGCAGTAAGTAATCATATGTAAATTAATAAATAAATGATTCAAATTATGGCTTCATGTATTTGGTAATGTTTGAAATTCTGTACTATTAATATGAGAAAATAAAATTTGATTTTTTAAAATTTTAACTAGTTTTTTTTTTTTTTTTTTTTTTTTTTTTTTTTTTGGGGGCTCTTCTTTTTTTTGTCTTTTTTTTTTTGGGGGGTTAGGGCCTGGGGCGGCGGGCCAGCG